CTGGCCCCACCCCCTTTTTTTGCTCCCGTCACGTACCTGCCTGTTCACGACGTACATGAACACTGACCTCATTGGTATATCATTAGCATATCATTAACAGGCAGTTAGCATCTTATTACTCTGCGGTTGGAACCCGAACGCCTCTGCAGTCCTCCCCGGACAACAAAAACACACAGAAACAACAGCCCCGCCCCACGCCGTTTTGTCCCGGCCCCGTTGTCCCTGGCTCCGCCCCTGCCGTCAGCTCCGCCCCTGCTCCCCCGACCCCCGCCTCTCCGCATGGAACGGTTTGGTCCTAAGAACGGAGCTCCTGAAGAGGTGGTTGGGGGCCTCATTATCATAAAATTTACATCTAATTAGCATACCACCAGCCTCTCAGCACTCCCAAGCAGAAACAGCAACACACCTCTGAACCCTAAGGAGCTTTAGGACACCCCCAAGCTGGCACTAGTGCTATCTGAACAGCCAGTCGTGGCCTCATTACCAAGAAGCTTGCATCTCGAGTATCTCATTAGCATCTCCTTAGCATCCCTATGCTGGGACACAGAGTCTTGGCCCCTCTTCCCTGACACCCTCCCTGGCACGATGGGGCCCAGGCGAGGATGGGTGCCAGTTGTGACACGTGTGGTGTTGCTGAGGCTTTCGTGCAGCTTCCCTGCACACAGGGCGGGGGGGGCCCTGTGGACTTTCATGTGGCCTCCCGGGGCCTCCCTGCACCCGGGGCCTCCCTGCACACAGGGCTGGGGGGGGCCCTATGGACTTTCATGCAGCCTCCCGGTGCCTTCGTGCGCACGGGGCCGGGGGGGACCCTCCAGGCCTTCATGCAGCCTCCCGGGGCCTCCGTGCGCATAGGGCCAGGGGGTGGCCTACAGGCTTTCATGCGGCCTCCCGGGAGGCCGGGGTCTCTGTGTGCACAGGGCCGAGGGGCTATACAGTGAGCCAGATATAAAGCATTCCACCTGGCAGCAGTAACTCAGCCTCCATAGGTGGAAAGGGACCTGACATTTTATCTCAAATTCTGATTGCTGTCGTCTTTCTTATGATTTATGTGAGTGTGTGTGTTGATTTCTTTCTTTTCTTCTAGATTTACTCTTCAGTTAGCCTTATCAGGCAAAAGAGAGGAGAAGAAGATCAAGTTCCATGGAGCTTGTGGAATTATATTAATTTGCAGACAAAACTATACAGGCAAAGAGCTTTTGCTTGTAGAAAGCCCTATGAAAGCATCCATCATCCACAGACACATTAATTAAAATGATAATAGTGTGCTGCTTTATCTAAAAAAATCTTCAAATATTAATTATTCATTAACATTTTTACTTGGAAAGCAATGCAGCTATTGTTAGTTTATATTCCTTTCACTTGTTAGGTCCATGAGGACCTTATTAACAGGCTTATAGCTA